CTTCTACTTGCTGTCAGAGCTTCTCCTTCCTTCGTGGCTTCCCCATCCCCTCACCCCCAGCAAAGAGCTGGCTGGGATTCACAGCAGCTTCCCTGCAATTACCCAAACTTTATGGGGAGGGAGAAAGCATCCTCTTATTCCAGATTAGGCATCACAGATTTCCCTGAAAAGTAATTTGAGTGCAGACATAAATGAATATTTCTGAATAAGCAAACTTGAGCAGTTTAATCTGGGTCTTAAGATGGAAATTATCTGAAGAGATAGGACAATAACCCTGTTTCTTCCTGCTTTCTTAAGTCAGATTTAAAAAAAAAAAAAAGGGAAAAGGCTCAAAAATAATTCAAACTCGTCAACGTGATGAGTTGTTGTTTCGCTGATACTTTGGGGTGGTAGAGTAGCTTTTGCAGGAGCATCTTCTGAAAACCTGTAGTTGCATTCCATGACACCTAGCATTCCTGCTTAAACCCCAGACAGCGTAGAGACCTGCCGTTTCTGTCTTCTCTATCTTGCATCTGCTGAATCTGCTAAGCTCCGCTGCCCCATCCCTGCAGGGAAAGTTCCTTCCATATCATCCAACAGAAAGCCTGTGATGGTCTTGCAGACATATCATAACAGCGCTTCCTGCGGGTTCCATCTGCACCTGCCTGCTGGGACCTGAATCCAGGCCCCACATCCCACTGTCTCCAGCCACACTGGGTGATGTCACCACAGCCGCAGGGGACGGGGGGGGCTGTGACCAGTGCCACCGAATCCCAGAGGTCTTGACAGAGTCCTCCACTCGGACCTTCTGCCCTGGACATGTTTGCAGCTCAACGTTTGAGGACACAAAGGCTCCTCTTCTGGTCCTGCTCAGAGTCGCTTCCATGGCCGCCCTAGCCCACTGTTCAGCACCTCGAGGGCCAAGCTTTGCTACCACCGGTCAGGTGGCACGTGCCTCCCCCTGGGCCACAGACAGCGCAGGCACTCTGCAGGGTCCCACGGGTGGGTGCAAGGTCTCACACAGAGAAGCGCTTCCAGCGAGCCCACATTCAAGCCCTGGGTGTGCAAAGTGGCTGCGCTGGACAACACATCCTCCACACACGAATGGCCAGGGAGACAGCAGTCGACCAAAGCAGGCGTAGCCAAACCACAAGGCTGCGACAGCGGTATCTGGCCAGCTGGGTTTCGTGCCAGTTCAGCCTGAGGTGCGTGGGGCAGTTCCTGGCTCTGACTCAGTGTCTGCAGCTGCCCGTGGCCCAGGTGACTGCTGTCCCATTGCCTTCATCCTCATTCTCTTTGTCCCAGAGATCTGCTCGTTCCTGCAGGTGTCTTCAGCGAGCCTGGGGCAGTAAGTCCCAAGTCAGAGCTTGCGAGAGTGGATGTGTAGGCTAGACGGTGGCAGTGTGACCGTGGGCTGCCAGCCTCACCATTTCCAGGTGTGCTTTGTCTAAACGTCCCAGGCTGCACTTTGCTTAAAGAACCTTTGGGGTGCAGACTTCCAGAAGGCTCCTGCTTGAGCTGGGTCCTGGAGGAGAGGCAGGGTGGAGATGGGAGGGTTTTCTGCCTGGGCACCGCACACTCCTGCCTCCGAGCAGCGATTGTCCTGCCCCACAAGGGTGCAGTGCTGCAGCCTAGGCAGGGCCTTGGAAGGGCTGCATCTCCCACCTCGCACCTGCTTTCCTGGCCCTCGTCAGCAAGTCCAGACAGACCCCACAGATGGCCCCCTAGGGATCTGGGTGGAAGGCAAGTGGCACTGCGTGGAGTAAGCATTTCTGGGTCACTGCTTTGTGTGAAACAGACACACATTTGCCACGTGAAGATGTCTCCGCCAGAAGCTGTGAGCGCAAAATCTGAACATGACACACACTCACTGTGGGCCTCCCCGGGGCCAGCCCCACATCCTTTACCACTTTCTGTGCCTCCGTCGTGTCATGCTGAGCATCTGTCACAGCAAGCGGCAGCGTCTGTCTCCCAAGCCTGAGTCCCAAGACTCAAGCCCAGGCAGGGACAGAGAGCAGCCGAGGCCCTGGAAACGGGCTCCCAGACGGCCTTTCGACCCTGGGTCCCTGCAGACTGGGGCTGCCACGGGACAGCAGCTCTCAGGGCACTCGTCTGTCCTCGCTCACAGTACTCCGCGCAGCCAGCAAAGCCCAATACAGGATTCAGTGCTCAGGCACAGCTTCCCATGATGGCCACTGCAGTCGCTGCCGCCGCCACCGTTGACATGTCTGACACCTGCAGACATGGAACCTCTGGGCATCCAAACTCTCTGTTCTTTCCTTGCTGACTTGTTTGCCTTTCATTCTTTTTTCTCTGTGTCCATGAAAAGAGGGAGGTTTCCCTACAGTCTAGAACTTGAGGCCCTAGTGAGAGAGAAGGCAGCAGCCATGCCACCCAGCTGAGAGATCTGGATTAGGTGCCAGCTCCCAGCTTCAGCTACGGCCACTTAGGGAGTAGAAACAGGCGGTAGCTTGCTTTCTCTGTGTGTGTGTGTGTCTTTGTGTATCTGCCTCGCTGATAAATAAATATAGTTTTAAAAAGGAAATTCAACATTCCAGGCAATAAATGGACTCAGAATAATGCTAAGCCAGGGCCGTCCTGCAGGCCCGGTGTGTGCATGAATCTGCGCAAAGGACGGCCCCTCTGCCATACTCTGCCCGCATCCGGTCCTTTTAGAAGTGCAAAGTCCGCCTGAAGCCATTGCTGCAGTCCTATTTGTTTGGTTATAAATAAAGTATATCCTCTCCATCCCCACGTACCTTTCTAGTTGCAGAACATAAAACAGAATCCTAGAGTCCTAAATTGAAATGTTATATTCCTAATCAGAATTGACAGTTGTAAACAGCCATGTGATTTGGTAAGGGTTGTGTGTGTGTGTGTAGTGTTTTAAGCATCACATTTTGCAACAGTTTTGTGTGTGTTTAAAATGGTGAGCTCAAATTAATCGCATCCATTTCAGGTTCTCAAAAAACCTGGCAATGCAGCCATTTTGAAAGGAAGATGCCGTGACTCAGCCGCCTCTGCCACGAGATCGGGCGGGGCCCAAGCAGAGCGGGCACAGTTAGGGCCAAGGCCGCTCCAGCCCGCTCCGGCCCGCTCTGGGGCCTGCTTTTCCCAGCGCTGCACGTTCTGTACCCGGCCAGGAGTCCAAGCCCAACTCGCTTTGTGACTAAGCGGCTTCTGTTCTTCAGTCTTTTGGGCTCGTACACTGCTGAGAAACAAAAAGCTCCATAGTTTGCTTACTCCTACACTCACATATTTCTTAAAAACAAAGACTCAGACTACAGTGTAGCTGTCACCACTGCTCGCTCTGGAAGGCAGCGGGGGAATGGGGCGGGGCAGGCCCGCCCTGGTGCCAGCGCTCTGCCTGGTCTCTGCCTCCTCCCGGAAAATACGTGTGTCTGCCATCTCTTCGGCTCCTGCCTCTTGGGCTGGCACGCTGACCCAAGCGGTGCTTGCTGGCGCTTGATGCACGGATCCTGGTCCACACGGAGCTGCGCCGAGGCTGTGCAAAGCCAGTATGCCATCTCCAGTTGGGTTCTCCCAACTGCTGCAGGCTCCCGGCAGTCTGTGGTAACCGGGAGCAGCTGAGCTGGGCTGAGGGCCACAGCCAGGAGCCCTGAGCTCTGGCTGGGATCCCGGGAATGGAATACGAAGTGGCACCTCGGGGGGGCTGCTCCCCACGGATCCACTCCGTCACTCGCCCCCTGGGGCACACGGCGTTCTTGCCTGCCCGACCTTCAGACCACTCTGTTGCTGGGTGTCCTGCCCCCTCCAGCCGCGGCCTCAGCATCCTTGCTCCAGCATCAGCAGCGCCTCCTGGAGCCCCACCTGACCTTCATTCAGCTGAGATGCAATGGCAGTCCTCTCTCCCCAGACCCACCTCCGTCCTTACAAAGGGCCTGTTTACCTCTGATGCGCATATGCCGGATTCTGTCGGTTTTTAAAATATTTACACATATATATCCTCCTTGATTATTCAAAAACAATAATGCAGGAACCATTTTATTTGAAACAAAGACTCTCTGCTCTCTGTTCTATGTATTCTATATATGAGCATGCCTGAAAAAGTTCATGGGAAATGGAATTTAAAAAGTAAACTTATGTTGGTGGGGGGAAAGCAAAGAACTTGACATTCCTCACAGTGTGTTCTAAGGATCCCCATGTCCCACAAACATCTAGAAGATCCCTCCTGTGGTCTGTGTGTGTGGATGGCACGTGGGGTGCTTGATTATCGTGTACACTCTACTTGAATTCTGCTCCCCGTCTGGTAGCTAAGGGCCTTCTACTCCGAGGAAGGAAAATGAAATTAAATTAAAAAAAAAATTATTGAGCATGGCTTTGAGGTTCTTTCTTTCAGTTCCCACCTTTGGGAAAGTTGACATGCACCATGGTTAAGAGGCTCCCTCTTAACAGCACACTTCTCTCTCTGATAAGTGGCTGGTATTCTGACCCATCTTTGCTAGCACCTGGAGACACGGGGCAGCTCAGGTCCTGAACCTCACAGCGGTCAGGGATGTGGCTCCACAGCTTCTGGAAGCATCCAGCCCCTGAACCAGGGTTCATCCCTGTTCTCTCTGCTTTGGTCTGCACCTTTACTCCTGAATGCCTGAGTGGGAGGGGTTTGAAACACCGTGTTGCACTCCACATTTAGGAGCTTGGGATGAACACCACCCGGTCCCCTCAACTCCCACCGGTGGTGCCAGGCTGTGACTGACCAAGTCTAGGCCCAAGAACACACTGCAAGTGTTGCAGCCAGATGGAGAAAGGTCCCCAACCTGGACTCGTGCAATGTGGTCAACTCACTTCTTGTTTGCCCAGCCATTTATTTGAGATTAATTTTGGTTGACTCCCATTTGGGGCTCAGCATACTTTTTTTAGATGTGTTTGTCACCACTTATAAACCTCTGTCCAGTCACTCAGTAAGCTTGCTTCTGACAAGCATTTGCAGAAACACCCCCAGGGTGGCTCGGGAGGCTGCCCGGGACTAACTGGCCCCTCTGTGTGTTTGCATGAACTAGTTAACTCCGGAGATGGCATCGACTACAGCCAGCAGAAGAGGGAGAACATCGGAGACCTGATCCAGGAGACGCTGGAGGCCTTCGAGCGCTACGGAGGCGAGGATGCCTTCATCAACATCAAGTACATGGTCCCGACCTATGAGTCATGCTTGCTGAACTAACGCTGGGCACAGCTGGGCCGGGGGGAAGGCAGCCCCTGGTGCCGTGGTCGTGGGCCTCCTTTACTTGTGACTTCTACAGCTTTCTTTTTCCAGCTGCTAGAGTAGTGGCTTATGGGCCCTGGGATTGTTGGTCCTGTTGAGAGCAAAGCTTTCCAATACATAAACAGTGCCTGTTTCTTGGATTACAATAGCTTACTGTGTTCATTTGTTCCATGAGAAGAATCGCTTCTTTATACGGCTCGAACGGGGGCCGGGGTGCGAGCTAAACCTTCAGTTGCATAGACAATAAAACTATAATTTTCATACGCAATTCAGCAATTGCTGTTTTGTGTCTGCCTCCCTGGAGGGCGATGCCAGAGGATGCAGGGGAAGGGTTTGTGCTGACTGCTTAATAGGTGTTTGTCATGGGGGACAAGCATGGGTTCGGCAGCGCCTCTCGGGCCAGCTGTGTGGAATAATGTGCTTTGACAGTCAGTAAAACTGTGGAATCTATATTCTAATTAAAGTGGGAAATCTAGCCCCTGATAACCTCGGCTGCAGTTGTAGTTAACACTTCCGGTCTCCCAGTACCCTGGCCTGCAGGGCCTTTCCCGAGCATATCTTAGCACGCCCGGAGGGAAGTGTTGGGGAGAGAACCGGGTCAGGGTTGTGTAGGAAACATTACATGTGATAGCACAGTTCAGAGAGCAAGCTAGCTCCCTCCTAGTGGCATCCGACACCTGGTGTGCCACCCGTAAGAGGTGGACCAGCAGCTGCTTCAGCACTGTCAGTCATCTTCAGACATGACTTACAGGGGCCAGCATCGTGGCACAGCCGGGCAGCTGCCACCTGTCACACTAGCACGCCATATGGAAGCACTGGGTAGGTCCCAGCTGCTTCTGATCCAGTTCCCTGCTAATGTGCCTGGAAAGGCAGAAGGAGATGGCCCAACTGCTTGGATTCCTGCCAACTACATGGGAAACCTAGATGCTGATTCCTGGGTTCCGACCAGTCCAGCCCCAACCACCATGACCCTTTGCGGAATGGGCCAATGGATGGAAGCTATCTCCCTCTCTCCCTCTCTCTGCTTTTCAGGCAGATTTTTGGTTTTGTTTTTAAAGAAAATGACTTAAGACCATTTTAACCATCACCCCTTGAAACAATCCACACTGGCCCCTGGCCTGTCCTCTCTTTGGGCAACCTGCCTGTGGTTGGATGAGTTTTCATAGCTCCACTCAGTGGGTCTAATGGCACATACTGGAATTTTATTGAAACCAGAAAGAAAAAAGAGGACAAAACTCCTGTACTTTTTCATTCTACTGAGAAGAAAAAGGCACCCAAAGAGGAGACCCACGGCAAGGCAGGCAGTCAGCCATGGACAATGGCTTTTCAGGCAAGCCGGGTGGGGAGTTCAAGGCTTTTGAAATTCAGCCCAGAGAACTCCATAAAGACGGGACATTGACTGCACACCTGAGAAATGCCACGACTGCCCCAAAACGCACAGCCCTGAGCCTCTCCTCTCAGCTGCCAAACGTGATTTCTACCTAAAAGTGTAGGTGCAAAGCGAGTTTCCACTGACCTTCGCCTCGAGGCCATCATGCTCATTACTCAGAGCACAAGTTTCCAGCAAGCACAAGTTTCCAACAATCAAGCACCAGTTTTAGAAATCAGTTCCTTGTCCGGTTTCCCTGTTGCTGGGACACAGGATTATTGTTGGTGTATTGTTTTTGTCAATCTTGTAAGACAAAACAGGGATGCATAGTCAGGTGGGACAAATGAGCTTTCATGTGTATTTTCTGGAAAAGATATTGCCAGCAGCAGTACAGCAACAGGTGAAGGCAAGCCTTTGCCAAGACAGAGATGTTTGCCTGCTGTTGTCCTGGCGTCGCTGGTGTGATAATAGGACACCGAAGCCTGTGACATCATCAGGCCATGCACAGCTCCCTCCAGAATGGCTCTACCAGCCCTGTTAAAACCCGAGCAGGTCAGGTCCCTCACTCTAAGTCATCTACATGGAAACGGCCCCACGTAGCAGCCAAAAGCCCTAGCTGCTTGGTCCAGAGCCCTAAGCTGGGCTTGGACCTGGAAACAATGACCATCAATGACCGTCTCTGCAGCCCGAGGTCACCCCGCATGCAGGTGATCTGTGTGAGGTGCTGACCTGATTCCTTACGGCGGTGGGACTGTGAGCTCAAAAGAAGCCGCGTGTGTCACTGGACCGTGCAGTGACACCAGTGCACAGCTGGCAACTCAGATGGCGCTGCCAGCACAGTCACAGTGAGTTCTTCCTAATAGGAGATAATTGCTCAGAAAGCCAATCACAAGTGATTTAGAAAGCTGTATTTATTTACTTATTTATTTCAAAGAAAGAGAGAGCTCTTCCTCTCACTGGTTCATTGGCCCCAGCACTTGAGCTGCTGCTTTCCCAGGCACACTGGACAGAAGCAGGATGGGCAGAGGGAAAGCCAGGACTCAAGTCAGTGTTCCTACAGGATGAAGACATAACTTAGCTTGTTGCGCCTTAACACCAGCCCCGAGAGGCCAGATACCTACACACATAGAACCATGTAGAGATCCCAGCACGAAACACTTCCTTTGTTTTACTCATACACAGTTCATCACGGCCCACTTTGTCAGCCCCCTTGTCCCAAATCATGTCCAACTGACTCAAAAGGCTTGTGGAATATGCTCAAAGAGACGAGAGCAACGGAATAATGAGCTTGCAGGTGGCATGTGCTGTGTGTGTGTGCATGTGCAGCTGTGCATGTGCTTGGCACTGATTGGAACACATGCACAGGTGTCTCCCTTAGGCAAGGAAAGCAGCCTGGGAGGGATGAGCTGGCACTTGCCCTGGTACTCAGGAGCTCTGCCTTCCAGAGCCAGCCACAGACGCTTGGCTTCCCAGGGTCACCAGAAGAACCTGGCAAGCCTGGAGCAGCAGTGAAAGGCTCAGGACCTGGCCGGACCAGCTACCTTGTGAAGGCAAGAGACACAGGTCTACCTTATAAAGCCCCAATCCCTCATCACTCAACTACAAGCATCACATGATAAATGCATTTATTTTATTGGCAAAGAGATCTCCCATACCTTGGTTCACCGAACAAATGGCCAAATGGCTAAATGACCCCACCTGGGCCAGGCCAGAGCCAAAGGCCTGGAACTCCTCTGGGTCCCCCTGTTGGTGTCAGGGATCCAAGCACGTGGCCCATCATCTGCCCCTGCTTTCCCAGACACTGGCTTCCAGCAGGGAGCCAGATCTGAAGCAGAGCATCTGGGACCAGTAGCAGTGCCCCTTGATGGGATGCTGGTGTCAGAAGAGCTCCTAACCAAGGCGTTCCTGGAAAGGGCTTAGCAGGACCCCGGCGGCGTGTGGGAGCACGGGGAGGAGGTGTCTGTGCATGCGGCTGGTTTGGTGGCAGAACTAGCCTGTCTTCTGTCCACATGAGAACCAAGTCACGTCACAGGTTGTAGCACAGTTTCCCTGGGAGAAAGACAGTGGCAGGCATTGCATGAGGTGCCTCTCTGGGCACAGTCCCTGTCAGTTAAGCCAGGGCAGCACACAGTAGCTGAGAAGTCCCAGGCTGACCAACAGCACTCAAAACCCTGACACAGTTGCACGCTCAGAGAATATTCTTGCCGAAGCCGCCTAATACAGTGAGGTCCTTTAGAGGATGATGGGCACGATTCTGGAGCAGCTCAGGCCCAGATCCTGGGAAATCCTAGAAGGCCGGTTGCAAGAAGAGCAAAAGGGAAAAATTCTAAGTGTGTTTTGATGCCCACTGCACTTATTACTTCTCTGGGCTGTTCAGCTTGTCCAGAGCCCTCTGCAAGCCTCAGCTGGGAGGCTGTGAGAGCGTGTGGTACGGACGTGACACACCCAAGGGAGCTAACCCAAGAATATTTTCCTCTATGTCAAACTTGACTCTACTATATAGAATTAAAAATGGTGGCAGAAAGTTTGAAACGCCATGTCAACTGTTCTACCTACCAAAGCATCCCTCTTTCTAGAACTCTGCCAGGGCCGAAGTGTGTCTATAAGACACTGTTGCCAGATCCAAGGAGCTTCCGCTGAGCCCAGCTGACCTTGCTCCTGTTACCCTGCACACCAGGCCAAGGGGAGTCCAGGCCCTCCTGAGGCCTTGGCTGTGGTATCCCAGGAGGGCCTGCCGGGGTGCAGCTCACGTCCCAGCTGTGCTCCCAGGCCCAGAAGGCACGGCTTTCCTGGGAAGAGTCAGCCTGGTTCCTTTCCAAACAACATAATGAGCTGAGCCGGACCTGCTGCCCCACACTCACCCTTTGCTTGTCTGAGGGAGAACCTGAGGCGTGGCACATCGCTGGGTCCTACAAGGGGGGGGGAGGTTTCAAACCAACTTCCGTGTCCTGTGACAGGATGTAAAGGAATGCTACCATCATCCTCTCTCTGCCCTGCAGGGCAAAGACACACTGCTAATCCGAGACACGCGTGCCACTCAAGGGCACTTTCCCACAGGGAATCCTACACTTGGCCAGTGCTAGGAATGTGGTCTCCTGTCAGCTCGAGCGCTTCTGCAGCCTGGAGCGGATGGCACTCATCGCCACTCCAGATCAGGCACGGGTCGGCCCCTTCAGGTCTGGTGCAGACGTGAGAAGCAATGGCATTGCTGTGGGCCCACGTGCGCCAGACGCTTCACAGAGTCCCTGCCATGACAAGCACTCCTGTCACCACCGTAGGCAGCTTTAGGTCGCTGCCCTGCCGCGGTGTTACACTGACCACCTCCGGGCCTTGTCACATAGCCTAAGCCCCATCTGGTCAACCCACAGCACTTCCCACATGTGGACCATAGCCTACAAGGTCAACCCAGAGTCACCTGTAAGAAATGGCTTCACTTCCAGTAAGAGCAGGAGCCAGGGGAGCCACTGTGTCCTGGCCTGGCCCCAGCGGCCCTGGCGGCCCCAGTGACACACAAGCCTGGAGTTTGGGGAGCTGTGGATTCTCTCATTTCTTTATCCTCTCTCTCCCTGCAGTGAGGCCAGCCCCAGATGAGTGGCCTCTATCCTACACCGACACCCTGCCAAGAGATGTCCATTAGGAAAGGTGGCCTGGGAAAGCAGTGAAGGACGGCACAAAGCCTTGGGAACCCTGCACCCAAGTGGGAGACTTGGAAGAAGCTCCTGGCTCCTGGCTTCGGATCGGTGCAGCTCCAGCCATTGTGGCCACTTGGGGAGTGAACCAGCGGATGAAAGATCCATCTCTGTCTCTTATTCTCTCTGCAAATCTGCTTTCCAATAAAAATAAACTTTTTTTTTAAGAAAAGCATGGTTTTGGTCAATCAGCAGAAAGGCAACACCAAAAATGCAACATCTTTGCTTCACGCGTTAACAGGAAGACCTTTCACTGTGGATCTAGCATTTCCACATACCGCACGGAATTGCCGCTGCTGCACTTGAAACTCAGAACGAGCCACTTGTCTGGATCCACAGAAAGCAACTTCATCGTGCAAGGTGCAAGGCACTGGGTTCCTGATGCAGCTGGG